GTTTATATGATCACACCATGGAATCACCACAATGCACAGATTTCTTATCCCTCTTGATGTCACTATTTGAAGTGGCAGACAGTGAAATCTGGGGGTTGAAAAAAAGACAGATTCTAAGCAAATCCTTAGCAGGGACACCTTCCACTATCCCAGTGTGGTCAGAGCCCCATCCAGCCTGGCCTTGGACACTTCCAGGGATGGGACAGCCACAGCTTCTCTGGGTACCCTCTGCCAAGGCCTCCCCAGCAGGGAGCAATTTCTTCCTGCTATCCAATCTAAGCCTCCTCTGTCGATGTGAAGCCATTCCCCTTTGTCCTGTCACTATAAAGTTGTGTAAAAGAAGTGGTTTGATCTTTCCAGATACAACTCTGGCTAAACCTTACAATGCTTTAATGTATGTTTGAGACAGCACTGACATTTGAATAAATACACCCCATTTATCTTTGAGGAAAAATACTCAGCTGGAACAATAAAAAAACAGAACCCTGGTGGCTGCATTTGTTTAATTTTAAAAAGAGACAGCTGTACTTCTTGTTCAGTCAAGTGCCACTCATATTCTCCAGCCAGAAGCACCAAAATCCACAGCACTATTTGAAGAAAGTCTGCCAATTTAATTATTTGCCACAGAAAATTACAGAGAGGAGGACAGAAGGTTCCTTTTGGTAAGAAATTCCAGCTTCACATCTCTAGACTGAAATATTGTCTTTCTAGGAAACAAAAATGTCATTCTGAGTAGAGGAGATGTGTTCTAGGCTCCAGGGTGTAAAAGAAAACACAACAAATGCAATAAAAATCCTCATGGGGGCTGGAAGTGGGAGAGCAGCGCTTCTAAAGAACAGGACAAGTGTATTTATGACTGCACTATTTGTCACCACATTCCTTTGAAAGATTTTTTTATTTTTGGTGTTTGAATGGAAAATAACCAGTAAAAGCCATTTAAAAAAAACAAAACAACCTATAGTTCAACTACATTTGCCTAAACCACCAGCTAAAATGATGAGCCCACTTTTTTTAGGATATGCCTGCTTTTCCCCTCACTAGTATCATGATTTTTTTGAGAGGAGTCACTATGCTCACACACATGCAAAACAGACCTTTGGCTGGGTTCACAAAACATCTCATCACACGAAGTTTAAAAGTATCAACAACTCTCTTTTTACTTTGTTTCAGTTGTCCAAATTATGGAGAGGAATCAAAATGACCAAGCAATGTTTATATGAAGCTATTCTGGTTTTCACATTATACACAGAAAACTTAGTGGAGAAAGCGCTGTGAAAATGCACATTTTTAAAGGAGAGAAGGATTAATCTTGGAAAAGCTCATCTCTCCTGGCAAAAACATTTTTAAAACAAGACTCATGGTTCTCTATTTAAACTGTTTGCTGAGGTGTATTTTTGTTTAGGTGAGAGCTTTGTTTCTCATGATGAAACAATCACTTTCTTATTTGTATTAAAAAGCCAAACCTTCTTAGTCACTTGCAAAGAGCTTGAGTTAAAAAGAGAATAAAGCAGACCTAGATAAAACTCATAAAAGGTAGTATCAAGTGTTCAGGATCCCAGTGAGAGATGATTTCACTCTCTGGAAACTTGTAACTGAATAGTTTTATGTCTGTCTTGAACAGAATTCCAGCGACCAACCCTCCAGCTAAGGCAATTCCAAGTCCTTTTAAGTTACAGATACAATTTTAGCATCCTGTACTGGTTTAGGGCAAATTTGGGAGAAAACTTAGTTACATCCAACTGGTAACATTCTCTCTTGCATTCAATAAATTACATACACATTTTTAAAAATAAGTTTTGTTGGGGCACCAAAGGAGACAACTCTACTTTCTTTTTGTTTTGTTTTAAAGAATGAGGAGGCTTTTGAGATTGTGATTTATTTTCAATCCAAACAAATCTAAAAAAAAAAACCCCACAACCAACCAAAAAACCCTGAAATTCTTACTTCAGGTAGTCATTTCCTGTTCTGCAGTGATCAAGAGATGGGCAGCAGGGGAAAGGGAAGGAGTTCACAGTGCAAGAATAGGTAACATAAGTGTTATTTATCATGAGTACAGCCCCAGAGAGAGACTTTTTACTGGAAGAGCTCCAATTTCTAAGGAATCAAGCAGCATTAGCCAGGTAAGTTAAGTGACAGAATACCATGGCCAAAGGATTAGACATTGGATATGGGACAGAACCTCTTACAAAGGCTCATATAGCCCAGTATAACTTGATTTTTTATGCCAAAATAGCCCTAGAACAAAAAAAACCAAAAACCAGAAAACAAAATAAAAAAAAAACAAACAAGACTTTTGTATGCTGAAGTTGTTACTGAATTTTCATGACATGGGGAAGAGTTGGAAAGTGCATAGATGGAAACCTTTCTGTTGCTTTTATCACAGCAGGAGATCAGGAGACAGGGCCCTGCATTTGATCAAGTGACAGGAAAAGGCATTTTTTAAAATACAAGAAATTCCATTTAAGGACAACACTCTGACTGCCAGGGTGAGTGAACACTGCTAGAGTCTGGTCTCCACACTTGTGCACAATGAGAATCCAACTGCCCCCAGTTCTGAACAACCTGCTCTGCTTGGCCCTGCTTTGAGCAGCAGAGTTGGATACTGTCCAAGGTGCCTTCTAGCCACAGCTCTGTACTAATTTTGATTTTCCTATTCTTGAAATACAGGACAAAGCTTTATTTTTCACATGTCTAGAATAGAGGCAGCTTCATTTGTCCACGAGAAGCTTCTTAAGTATGGATGTCTTAATCCAGGTGTCTTTGGCTTGTGCTTTCCTCAGTGGATATGGCTGTAAAATAAGCCAGTCTGCAGATATTCCAGACACTGCACTTCAGGAAAATCACGTATTTCTTACAATTCACATTTCAGGCTCAGTGAAGAAGACTACATTGTGTGTGTTGTATGCTTTAAGTCAAGGACCTAGTAATAAACTGTAAGGCACAATAAAACAAAAGGAGCATCTCACAAACTTTATAGACAGACAAAATAATCCTGAGTGCAGCCAAGTTATGTGACTGCTGAAGGAGCCAGACTGCAAAGTGGAAAATCCCATCAGAGCCAAGCAAGGAGGAAGCCAACTAAGACTGGCTACTTTCCACCACCAAATGTCAGGTGAGAGCTAGAGGGATCCATTTTCAGAGAATCCCATTCAAATTCGAGTGACAATTACTCCTGGTAAGCTGGGACCTACAGCCAAATCACAGGGGCAGCCAGATGGCTCTGCCCTGATGAATGGCCTGACAGGAGGGCTGGGAGAGCCCTCCCTGCCAAGGCACACAGGTGTAATTTATACGGTGCTTGATACTGCCCTAGCTGACCCAGTGAGAGGGGGAATTGTTCTGGGGGTTTTCTAGAGAGGGTATTTGTCTTGGGAAGGAATTTCCAAAGGATTATCTTGATTTGGCTCTGGCTGCAGCTGAAATTTATCTCTGCATGGAAGCAGAGTCGCCTGTCCCAGACAAACTGGTGACGTGTTGGAGAAAAGGAAGTCTGCAGAGTTGACAAAACCTGTGTGTGTTTCCAAGGCTGAGGGAGTGTGTAGAGAGTTCAGTCTAATAACTGAGGATAAAGAAAACCCAAGGAGAAATTACACAGGAGAACATTGAATTACTGTCTAGAACTGGGAATCTGACATTTCTGTGGGAGAAGGCAAAGGAAACCAAATGAACGGGATATAGGAAGCAAAGTGAAGAACAAAAGTATCACAACCACTTTATTATTTCTAAACATGTATCACTTAATCATAACTAGAAAATGATCATGCTAGCAGAATTGTTTCTCAGAAAACCTGAAGGCAGAAAATGAGATATGGAAGCAATTGATGAACCAATTACTGTTACACAAAAAGCTCCAACTAAACCAGTAAAGAAGCATTTAACAGTTTAACATGAACTACAAGATTGGAGAGACAAACTGACTTTCTTCAATTTTAAAATGAAGATTTAAAAGGTATTTGGTACTTTATAGATAAGCACATGCTAGCATTTTGTTCAATCCTCTTAAAGTACAAAATAATTAAGTGCCAGTTTTCCACTCCATCAGATGTAAGCAGATGGAAATTATGTTTAGAAGTTTAACATTTAAATAAATAAACATTAATTTCAGAGAAACTGACTTGGTGCTTACAGAGAGAATACCTTGTTGACATTCTTAGGCCTAACTTGCTTTTTTGTTAGAAAATTATTATTTTCAAATTGAGTCAGACTGCTAATACAATCTTGCAAAACTGCTGGCACACTGAAAAATGCAGAAGCTCGCCTTTAAACTATTAATCTTAGGTAAAACATAGGTTTTAATGCCTAAATTTAAATAGTATGTGAAGACAATTACAACATTTTCATGAAGAGTAAGTATCAGCATAGGAAATAATGATGGGATGAGACTGAGGCTTATTCAGGATGCCCTTAATTGCTGAGAAATATCTGACAAGACTTTCCTGTGGTGGAGCCTGGAAGACTTTTTTTTTTTTCTTCTAAACAGTTCAGCAATGGACTAACAGTGTAGAGACTTCCAAGTTATCCTTTCATGAGCAGTGAGTTGTGGCATGCAGGAATCAGAGGAGACTCTGAAGGATCTATTTCACTGATCTATGCTATTCCCAATATAGCTAAAGATACTTGCAATGGCTATAGTTTCAATGAACATCATTAGCCAACCAATTATATTGCACTGCTTTTATATTTTCTTTGGTACTCAGAATACTGACAGCTTAGCATCTTCTTTAGTCCAGGCCATATTTACAACAACCAATGGCAGCCTAATTATTATTACTTCGAGAATAAATTTTTACTTAAGGAAAGATTATAGATTTCAAAATGTTTTTCTGTCTTTTCAGTCTCTCTCTGGCAGATGAAGAATCCAAGGCTACAAATTTACACTGCAAGATTATCCCACTGTGCATTGCATTTTCTGCTCTGCTGGTACCCAGTGCTCCCCTACCTCCCCTGGGTTTAGCTTCACAAAAAAAGCATCACCCCACTTCCCACCTGGCAGTACTCACCAATAGCCTGAGCAAGGGCTATTACAACTTCCTGGCATGTTGTGACTTCGGTGACCCCACACACAATTCTCTGCACTCCATCCACCCATACTTTGAGCTCCATGGTTCACCAGATCATCCAAGAGCCATGAATGCAAATCAGTCAAGTCATTCTTGCAGCTGCACCAGAGACAATGCAGCTGACTTCCTGTAGCAGCTGAAACAGAGAAAAATCCTGGTGTTTAGAGTAAGGAATCACCAATTTGAAAAGCTGACAATTTTACCTTGACATTTATCAGGTAGGAGAGTCTCCTTTCTTTAAAAACAACGGGAACCACACATCCACACATTTTGGGGGCAGAGTGGCTGGAAAGTGCCCAGCAGAAAAGGACAGGGGGTGCTGGTCAACAGCAGCTGGATATGAGCCAGCTGTGCCCAGGTGGGCAGGAAGGCCAATGGCACCTGGGCTGGGTCAGCAATGGTGTGGCCAGCAGGACCAGGGCAGTGACTGTCCCCCTGTCTTGGGCACTGGTGAGGCCACACCTCAAATCTGTGTCCAGTTCTGGGCTTCTCACACGACATGGAAGTGCTGGAGCATGTCCAGGGAAGGGAACAGAGCTGGGGAAGGGTCTGGAGCACAAGTCTGATCAGGGAGCTGGGAAAGGGGCTCAGCCTGGAGAAAAGGAGGCTCAGGGGGGACCTTCTGGCTCTGCACTAGACCCTGACAGGAGGGGACAGTCAGGGGCAGGTTGGGCTCTGCTCCCCAGGGAACAACCTCAAGTTCTGCCAGCAGAAGCTCAGGTTGGATATCTGGAGGAATTTCATCATGAAAGGTTTGTCAAGCATTGGAAGGGGCTGCCCAGGGAGGTTTGTCCCCATCCCTGGAGGTGTCCAAGGAAGAACTGGACATGGCACTCACTGCTCTGGGCTGGGTGACAAGGTGGAGATTTGGCACAGGTTGGATTTGGTGTTCTTGTCCAACTTCAAGAATTCCATGATTCCACTCTAGGATCTCATGCATTAACAATGTCTACCTCTTCTGCAGACTTACCCAAAGTTTCATTACAGTTTAGTTCCTAAAATTTTAGGAGTTGTTATAGAAAGAGCACCTAGAGAAATAGCACTAAATAAACAACTTCAGAATAAACCCCTAAGAGCTTCCAGTAATAGGTGTCCCTATTCCTTTACATGCTGCCTGAAAGTTTCCAGGGACTAGTAAAGATCCTTTCAGTGTTTGTCTAATGATTTCTAGCAGGTGGAGCTGTAGAAAAAAAAGGGGTAAACATTTTTAGTTACAGTCATCTGTGACAGTCCAACTTTTGTCTCCCTGCAGAAGCAGCTGAAGGTTCCTATTCCCAAAAAACCTGTGCATTTTGTACCAGAACCCAGAAAGCAAAGTGAGCAGACATTGCTCCTCTCTCCCTCTGAAACACGAAGATGCATCAGGGAAAGTGTTGTAGGGGTGGTTCAACCCCTGCCAGCACTGTGCTGGTTCTGTGAGGAACCAGACGTTGTCTAATGTCTTTTCCTAGGTTTTACCATCGGCACTGCAGTGATACTACGCAAAGAAATTTCATAGTAAACCAAGCAAAAAATCACTGTCTTAAAAAGATAGAACGTTCCCTCAAAAATGAAACAAAAACAAAACCACCAATAATGATGATCAAGTCTCAAAAAAACCCCAGAAACTAACAAGAAAGCAAACACCCCAAAACCAACCAACAAGAAAAACAAAAATAAAGAAAGCCCAATGAAATAGCTGGGCTACTTAAGCAGCTAGAGGGAAAATAAACTGATAACATGATAAAAGAAGTTTATGTACTCAGGTTATCCCATAGGGATAAAGTAATAAAACTAAAGACAATATTTTTGAAGAATTAAGTACCAGGAAAATGGATAACATAGGGATGGAGTAAAGGAAAGATGAAAATTATTTAGGAGAGATAAGTGAAGACAGGCAGGGTAGGGTTACACGAAGAACATGGAATCTGATGATGCTGATGGATTGAACAGAACTGCACCACGTGGAGGCAGAAATGGTGCAGAGAACATTGCTTAAGTGCTATTCCTATTTATAGTCTAACCAGAGCTGCTTTCTCATGGGGATGGGAAATCTCTTCCTGCATCTAAAAGATGGAGGGGCAAAGTGGCTTCCCATCTGCAACCAAACCGTTCACCCAGCAGATGACAAATAGTGACACATGATGTAGAGGACACCTGGAAGATCCTCACCTGACAGGCTGGGGCAGCAACAACCTCAGAGCCTGTCAGAGACACAGGGGTCACACCTTTAGCAGAAAAGCACCAAGCAGCAAAGCCAGGACAGCAAACAGCCCTAAAATCCTTGCCCAAATCTACCTGTTCAGTGGTATACATAGAATCTATGAGTTAAGCCACATCTCAAACAGACTTGCACGCTCAATAGAAAAGTGATTGCTTTTAAGAATATCAGTGTATACAGAAATAATCTTTAAGACATGAACAAGCAACTGAAAATCCAAAGAGGTTTTGATAAAAATTTTTCCACAAAGAAGTTTTCTTTGTATTACCTAACTTTATCTCCACAAGCATTAACCATGTACAAACACAAACACTTCAGTCAGGTTAACACCATTTTAATGTGCCAATAAACTAAGCAGTAGAAAATCCTTTACTAGCCTGTAACACAGCAGTGACTGAGAAAACACCTCACAGGTCTCATCAGTGACCTCTGCTATTTATTCTTGGACCAGTTGTCTTCACAAATAAACAGACCTCACATTCCAAGCCCAGCTGTAAGGAACTTTATTAATTAACTTAATAACTTGCTGAGGGTTGAACAGTTCAGATTTCCTGGCACCGACCAAGCCATGTCTCCATGTGACAATGCACACGTCAGCAAAGCATCCGACAGCTCTAATTGTTTTTCTGTCTGTCAACATCCAAAGTATTATCTCCATTTAGCAAGCCAGCTAAATGCATCTTTTCCCCCAGTCAGCACACAATGTACAGTCTTGTGCTCAGTGCTGATCAGGTTTGGTCATTTGTTTTCCTACAGTCCATCTTTTAAAAAAGCAAAGACTAAAGAGAAGCATCATATAATAAGGAAATATTTGCTGACACTTCCAAGTTGGAAGAAAGCATTCACCAAAGCTGCAAACGATCTGAACAAAGTGCCTTTGAATCAGTTCAAGCTCAGGGGAAACACTCCCATTCATTGCTTACAGGACAAATAGTTTTAATAGAATAAATAAGATAAAGAATTCGTGGTGCGTGCATCCCTCAGACCAACAGGCAGGGCTGAATTAAAGGAGTGTATTAATAAAAGGGCTGCTCAGGTGGAATCCCCATCCCTGGAGGTGTTCAAGGAACAACTGAACATGGCACTCAGTGCTCTGGTTCAGTTGACAAGGTGGGAATCAATCACAGGTTGGACTCTGTGATCTCAGAGGTCTTTTTTCCTCCATGGATTCTGGGATTCCATGTGCCTCACAAGTGCTTACAGGATTCCTTTGGGGACCTGCCACTAACAACATACAGTCCTATCAGAAACAAGATCTCTGTGCTGAAATCACTGTGTCTCAGTTTCTAAGCAAAGCTCATATGTAATAAGCTAAAAAAAATAGATCTAGGACTAGTTTGGTTTCTAGGATGATGCAGAAGTCTACAGAGAGGTCTGAAAACCAGAAAATTTTCCTGCCATGTGCTTATCTCTGCTTCCCAAATATAACTCAGTAGCACTTGTTTTTTTATTAGCCTTTGGTTTTCCTTCATAGGTATTCAGTTCTTTATTTGCTGCTAGTTAATTTTCATACCAGTAAAAGCTGATTTGCCTCCCCACTGAGGGTCATCTGGCAGCACCAAATATATTTTTCAACCTGAAATCTGTGCCCAGAATGCACATTGTGCTTTTATGTTAGAGGAGGCAAAGTAAGCCTTACTTCTAACACTGTGCAAATTTCTTTCTGAAGCCAATGGAAGGGTTGGAGAGTAAAAAAAAAAAAAAAAAAATCTCACTTCAGGTTTCTCAATCCCCTAAGTTCAAAACCAGTTCACCTTATGCATAACTTATTTCAGCAATGACTGGGAATAGGAATGCAAAGCTAATTTACTGAGAGGCACACAAGCCAAAGCACGCCTGTGATCACAGCTTTTCCCCAGTTTGTAAGCCATCAGCTCCATAGCCACACATAGTTCTGCCTGGAACCAAGCACTGGAAATCTGGCATTCCACAGCTACTTCCTTCCCCCACTTCTCCATTACCTTGCCTGAAGCCTCCTCAATTACCTTGTTTACCATGCTTTAAGCATTTTTTCCTAAATTCCCCTTTTATCCTAATTGGCTGATGGTATCTTCCTCTTTCATATATTTGTTCCGTTTTTAAGCATAAAGAAAATCTAGCATATATATGTATATATGTGCACACACACATATAGCATATTTATATGCTAGTATTTAGCTACCCCTCCACAACTTATCTACAAAATACAGAAAAGGCTGAAGCTTCACAAAAGACAAGCAGATCAGACTAAGTGCAAAGGACTTTTCTAGCATTTAAGAAGTAACAATATTCCAAGCAGATGTTTCCAAGACATCTTGCCATAAGCGTTAAGTTACAAGAAAACCCGAGAGCTAAAATCGAGATGCTGATTTCACCTCACTTCTAGTTTTTAGAAGGTTCACACTGCCTGAAAGCAACATGCACCTCAAATCAGGGCTAAAATCCTGCTGCAGCAGAATTCTGACCAACCAGTCCAGTGACTTTCTGTAGCCCCAGCAAGTCACCAGCATGTTGTTTAGTACACCTGAAAGTCAGGGTGCTTTCATTTGTAATTAGCAATAACCAAGCATCATTTGGAATTGGGCATTTAACCTTTATTTTCCATCCCCTGTGCACTGTGACCAAGCTATGCTGCTTGTTTTTCTCTACTATGACACCAGGTAGGCCCTGGACAAACAGCTTGTTCCACCCATGCTGTAAGCCATTAATAAAGAATAATTAGTCAGTGCTGGTCAGGCTTGATTGGAAAATACCAACCAAACAAGCACAAAGAAGCCAGTCCAGCTATCCAGAAAAGGTTTATAAACCATCCAGAAATGCATGAACAGGGATGCAATTGGAAGGTCTTCCCCACCAGAAGAATCCTGGTACAGAGCCAAGTAATGTGTTGCAAATGAAGCTAACTGAAAATACAGAATTGGCTACTGGAAATAAGCTTCCTAGTATTTACCAGAAAG